GTTTTGCATCAATCTTGATACGAGGTTACTTATTATATGTTGTACTTTGGATTACCTAAAGTCCTTTAGTCTACCTTACCATCATCCAAGGGTAGTTTTCACTGTAAGTAAAAAATAACTTTTGGACGGACACTATAATTTACAATTTTTCACCATGTTCAATCTGAATTTTCTTTAAAATAAAAAACATCTATATTGATTCTGACTTTTCTACATCCAACTCACAGGTTTATCATTACTTTGAGAAAAAAGATTATTAATTTAACCCTTTTAGAAGGGGAGATATGGTCATTTGTTCTGGGAATGTCATTTTCGAGCCTGAGACCTGCAAAACAGGCTCAGGGCTAAACTGTTTAAAATAGTTAATCGCGATTAATCGCACATTTTGTATCTGTTCTAAATGCACCTTAGAGGAATTTTTCAAGTTTTTAATACTCTTATCAACATATGAGCGGACAAATATGCTTTATACAAATGTTTGTTTATTATCATTGGAACAATGAGAAATATTCTCCTGAATATTTTCGATACAACCACCTGGAACCTCTCTCTCTCTCTTAGACTCTCTCCCAACCCTGTGTACTTCTTTGCACTGAGCCAGTTGCTCAAACAGACAAGCCTGTATACAGTCAAAGCATGAGACTGAAGTTCCCACTGTGGGTCAAAATAATGCGCTCTGATGTGCAGTCGACACGTTGGATGTGATCCGAATTATCTCACACAGTCCCTCGTCCTCCACAATGTTAATTGTCCTCCAAGCTGCAGCCACCGCCACCCATTTAGCTATCGCTGTTGAAAGCTTGCTGCTCGTAGAAGTGTCCAGGAGTCTCCCGGCAAACTTTCAAGTGTGGTCGGCCGCAAGCGAGCGGCAGGAGCAGCCCCTGTCAGCATGCGCTGTGTGCTTGGCTTGCTGTTTAAAACACCTTTTTTTGTATCCATATCTCTCCTCCCACCATCCAATTAACAACAACAACAACGTCAAGCCTTTGGGCTCTGAAACTACGGGGCGGGCCGAGGACACATGGACACATGCGTTAATCGCACGTAAAAATAATTAGTGGCGTTAAAAAAAAATGGCATTAACGCGTTAACTTGACAACCCTAGTAAAAACGTGTGTCTTATTGAAAGGTGTCAGAACGAAGAGGCTGCCATGGTTAGAAGTAATAGGCGTTTTGGCAGTCTGCATGAACTACATTGGCTCTCCAGTTGCCAGTCCACACTGTAATTTTGTATGGTCCATGGGGGACTTGGACCAGTAACCATTATTTGACCTAGCCAAGTCCCTGTTGACTGAGCTTCTATGGCTCTTAAACTTCAGATTACATGCTTCCCATTTCTCAAGGACACCTTTTATATAAAGTCTAAGAGTCGACAATACACCTAAGGAAGGAATCATGAATGATTGTTATAACATGTTATGCTAGATCACGCTTTTATCCAAAGACACTTACAGTAAATACACTTCTATACTGTTGACATCTAGATCTTTGATTGAAACCATGTCATGAGTCTCAGGACTTCAGAGCTTCCAACAGGAAAATGAACAGATGAACAGCAAAGACAACACTGTGTTCTCACACAATGTTGGCCCTTTAAAATAATCGTTCTGTAGTTAGTCATCATAACATTCTTTCTCCTTCTAATTTAATAGTTCCTGTTTGCTCTCTCTCCCTAGGTTGCGGTGTTAGAGATCCTTGGTGCAGTATGTTTGGTGCCAGGAGGCCATAAGAAAGTTCTAGAAGCCATGCTGCACTATCAGAAATTTGCCTCGGAGAGAACACGCTTTCAGGTCTGCTTTTGCTTTGTTTGTGTGTTTCATTTAATCTTCTGCAAGGGAATATGGTGGTGTGGAAAGAACAGATTCTGATTTATTTACGGGATGAGCCATTATGCAAGTTGGTTGCCTTATTTGGATCTGTTATAAAAGAGAAACACAAAGAAACATTACATTAGATTAAGGATTCATCCTAGGGACCCTAACAATAATAATAATACATCAGATTGTGACAGAAAGGGAGGCCACATCCAGAGTTACCAAAAGTATGTTTTATGCAACTTGAATATCTTCTGCTCTGTGTGCAGACCTTGCTGAATGACTTAGATAGATCCACAGGCCGCTACAGAGATGAAGTGAACCTGAAGACGGCCATCATGTCCTTCATCAACGCTGTGCTCAGTCAGGGAGCAGGAGAGGTGAACAACCATCCACAAGTCTTTATTCTGCTGAGATCTAGACAGAACTAGAAAGTACTGTGTCTTTGAGTGATGTGTGTATCGTATTTGTCTCAATCAACGTCTTCCCTTCCTCCACAAATGTTGTGTTTTCAGACCAGTCTGGAGTTCCGCATCCACTTGCGTTATGAGTTCCTGATGTTGGGCATTCAGCCGATCATTGACAAACTGCACTCCAATGACAACGCCATCCTGAACAGGTACATGAGGCACTCTTGAAGATGCCAGCATTTTAAAACATCAATACTGTGTTGTAAAATTAACAAATACGTGAGAGGTCAGGGGAATATATTGGTACTTTGACAAACTTTGTTCCATTCCATTCTGTTTATGTTGTTTCCAGACATTTAGACTTCTTTGAGATGTTGCGGAATGAAGACGAGCTTCTAATGTCCAAACAGTTTGATGCTGTAAGTCATTTTAGACTGTCCAAATGTCTTTTTAGATTACTTAATTTAGCGCCGAAATCCTTGCTCTTGCTGTGGGGATAAAAAGACATAACACATTTCAGTTTTTAAACACTAAACACCATCTGTTATCATAATAGGAATTTAATTGAAAATGTATTTTGCATTGCATTTATTTTCATGTCAAATAAATGTCAAAACATAGATTTGATATATGTCATAAAGAAACTGTGTTTTTCCTCAGGTCCATATAGAAACTAAAAGTGCCAGCCAGATGTTTGAGGTGATCAAGAGACATCTGAGCCACACTGAAGCGTACCCTCACCTGCTGTCTGCACTGCAGCACTGTCTCATGATGCCCTGTAAGACTGCCTGGCCACTTGTCCACAACTTACTAGTTTACCTTCCTTTTTAAATCACCATGAATCTGACGGTTCTCCCCTCTGTCTGCAGACAAGCAGAGCAGCACCACGCTCCAGTACTGGGTGCTGTTGGATCGGATAGTCCAGCAGCTGGTTCTGCAGACGGACAAAGGAGAAAACCCAGATGTCGCTCCACTGGAGGACTTCAACGTGAGAAACATTGTAAGCATGTAAGTTTCAGAGGGCTCTTCATTTGGGGTAGAAGCCTAGTGTGGTTTCAGGGATGAGTCATTGAACCCGGTAATGAGTTCGCATTATAGCATTTACGGTTCTCTCATCTGGAAGTCAATGGTTTTTTGAACATGTTTTTATTAGTTGCCTGAAATAAGGTCTGTGGTTAATACAAGTTTTAGAGATGTTCATGTATTGAACTAGGATATGACATATTTCAGTAAATACCTCACTGGTGAATGTCTGAATGTGTAAATTGACTCAAAGAGACAACTAAACGTCATCACGCCCAACACGATTCCGCCTTTAGCTTAGCGGTGGTGATGCACAGCCATGCTACTGTATTAAGTTTATAACCAAACGTTAGCTTTTTACTTATGGCATTGAATGCGCTTAGTAAATCATAAAAGTGGTGTTAATATGTGGAGATTGTCTTGTTGAGCGAAAAAAGTGATTATCATAAAAGTGTTTTTCCCACCTATTTTCCTCAAGATTCCAAGATCCAGTCGTTAATTGTCAATGAGGTTACGTGTGTATGTTTGTCTATAGGCTCATCAAAGAGAGTGAGGTCAAACAATGGAAAGAACAAGCTGATAAAATGAGAAAAGGTAAACACACACACACACACACACACACACACACACACACACACACACACACACACACACACACACACTCACACACACACACTCACTCACACAGTTTACAGAATGATCACAGACTGTATGTTCCCACACTCCCTTCCCTCCAGAGCATCAGAACCTTCAGCAGCGCTTTGAAAAGAGAGAGCGGGAGGTTGAGGCCAAGAATAAGGAGAAAGACGACATGATGGTGATGCTGAACAAGCTGAAAGACAAACTGGAGCGGGAGAGCAACGAGCACAAGCAAGCTCGACAACAAGTGGGAGACCTGTCTGCCCGGCTGCAGCAGCTCAGCTCTGTACGTGCACCCTGCTGCGATAAACATGGTCTATTTGTGTTTATTGCTGTCAATAAATGTATAATCTATGATTATGGCATCTGTTCATAATGAATTCTCTTGTTAGACCTCCAGTGTGCCAGGAGGACCCCCCGTGGCCGATGCTGGTTCAGTTCCTCCTGCTCCTGTCCCGGCCCTGCCTGTTGCTCCACCTCCCCCCCCTCCACCTCCTCCTCCAGGAGGCCCACCAGGTTTTGGCATGGCTCTATTTGCCCCACCTCCTCCACCAGGAGCTCCACTAGGAACAGCCCAGAGGAAGAACATTCCTCGGCCATCCAACCCCCTGAAGTCCTTCAACTGGAGCAAACTGCCTGAGGTACTGCTGTTGCTATGGAGAGAGAGGGACTAACATAGTATTGGGTTTGGGATGTGTCCCAAATGTTCACTCATCAACTACAACTAATAGAAGTTCTATACAGAGGACTATCATTTGAGTTATGTGCACATTTAAAGAAAACACAATGTACACTAGGTATTTTACGGTACCGAAATCATTCAAATAAATTGGGCAACAACTCATGTATTCTGGGTCTCAGACACGCTGCTCTCCTTGCGTTTGTCATAATTCCTCCGATACATTAAAAAAGCACCCCAACATTGCAGACTCAATTCATAGTGGACTATGTGCTTAGCATGAACTGATTTCAGCCTGGGTCTTTTCATGAGATTTGCCGACAGTAAGAAAAATATATGACATCCGACTGAGTGATGCCAATCAGCTTGTAGTCTCTGTAGGGGGTCAACAGCTGTGAAATGCTGCAGAAATCTCTACAGTGAGTTGTTAACTGGACTTTGAGTTAGGAGGATGATAAACTTGCATATTTGCTGTTGTTTCAGAGCCAGATAGAAGGAACCATATGGAAAGAGATGGATGATCTCAAGGTGTTTAAAGTTCTGGATCTAGAAGAGTTCCAGAAGACCTTCTCAGCCTACCAGAAACCTCAAGTATTACATGTAATGTATCACACTCAGTTTCTCTTTTGCCTTTTATTTTATGTTCATTAGGTATTTGTGTCATTAGCATATCAATCCTCCTATTCATAGATTTAGTTTCATTGTGTGACAGATATTGACACTACTCAGGTTGATTGCATGTGTTTGAAATGGAGAATACAGAAACACTGAAAACAAACTTTTACTCGGAAGAAGACTTTTTTTGTATTCTAACCACTATTCTGTATTAGCAGAAGGATCATGAGGAGGACCAGTCCTTTGTGAGGAAAGTGAAGGAGCTGTCAGTAATTGACGGTCGACGAGCTCAGAACTGTAACATTCTGCTCTTACGGTCAGTGCATGTTCCATATGAATACGTTTGATCCAAAAAAAATTGCATGTTGAAAAGCTGTTATATAAATGTATGTTACAGACTGAAGCTGACCAATGAGGAGATCCGACATGCTGTCCTGTCCATGGACGAACAGGAAGACCTACCTAAAGACATGCTGGAGCAGGTGACCCATTACCACATCTTCTGAGTCACCTCCAGCCCAAGTATTGCTCCCAAAGCAGATTTCAAATGGTTATAATGACCACGGTAACAAGATGTTTAGAATCAGGATGCTGTTTCATTAAAGCATAAAAAAGGTGTTCCTTTGGAGGACCTTTATATTGATCCATATAAAAATGACCAATATAAAGAAGCAATGTGATTTTATACGGGGCAGATATGGCACAGGGGGTAAACACATGTCTACCAATCAGAGGGCCACCAGTCCCTACAGTCAGGTGTCCTTGGGCAAGAGATTTACTCCTGTATGTGTATGGATTTCAACTGGATTTCCAGCCACTATGATGCAGATTTCTAATGGTAACATTCCTATTTATTTACAGCTCAAACGTGTGTCACAAATAAAACATAAAATAACTGTTTTAAATTAAATGCACATTTAACTGTGTGTGTGTGTGTGTGTGTGTGTGTGTGTGTGTGTGTGTGTGTGTGTGTGTGTGTGTGTGTGTGAAGCTCCTGAAATTCGTCCCTGAGAAGAGTGACATTGAGCTGTTGGAAGAACACAAGCATGAGCTGGATCGTATGGCCAAAGCAGACCGCTTCCTGTATGACATGAGCAGGTAAAACACACACACACACACACACACAGCCTGTATTTGTCAGTTAACTAAAGCATGACGGTGA